GGCAAAAAATTGTGACGCATCTCAAGATGATGATAACTATAATTCCGGATACAGATCTAAAGGGTGTTATAAGGTACATAAAATTTCTTGAACATTTGATAGTGATCTAATTTATAGCGTTTGCATCTCTCAATAATGTAAATGTTGCTTATTTTATATATCATGGATAGTGCGGAGAGGTAGTACAGTATTATAATGTGTTCATGTCTCATAACGATAACGATCGATTTTTAATCAAGAAACGTTGAATTTATAGTCTGGTCATATATCGCGTAATTGCCCTGATAATGGAAATGGTGGTGGAGGTGGTGGAGGTGGAGGTGGAGGTGGAGGTGGAGGTCGAGATTGGTAAAACAAATAATAATAATTTAATAATAATCATCCTGTTATGTTGTTTTAAAAATGGACGAAGTCTTTAATAATTATTCTTTAACAGTTTTAAGTGTGGAAGAACCGGACATTTTGCCAAAGATTGCGATGACAACAATGAAAATGATTACGGTTCATCGCGAAGTAACAACTCTGGTACCGAATGTTATAAGGCATGTGAATAATTATTATATACTTTTAACTGAGCGTTCTACTATAAATCTTTATCATCTCCTTCTAATTTGTTCTTTCTAAATTATTACTATAGTGTGGAAAGGTATGATACATCTATATATTAAATCCTTATTAAGGACATTAGAGTTCTTATTATAATGTATTTCTAGATCGGGCATATTTCTCGTAATTGTCGAACAGGCGGCGGAAAAGGGTATTACAATAATTATAATTCCGGTGGTGGTGGTAATAGCAAGACATGCTTTAGCTGTGGTGGTACGATATATTTAATTTTAATTTTCAAGTGAATTCACGCGTTTTATACATATCTCTAATATGCTCATTAATCCTCTAGAATATGGTCATTATCAACGGTAAAAATGGGTTTAATGACTTTATGTAAATTATGTTATTAATAAACGAATAATCTCATACAAGCGTGATTCTTTTTCGTAGAGATTGCGATAAGGAACAAAAATGTTATAACTGTGGACGTTCTGGTCACCAAAGCAGAGATTGTGATTATCCGCGAGGTTCTAAAGTCTGCTATAAATGTCAAAAGGTATGATGCTTATTTTGTTGCATGAGATTTTTTTTTTTTTTTTTTTTAAAAAAAAAATTCTTATCATCAATTTATTCATACATCTAGGAAGGGCACATTCAAAAGGATTGCCCCCTGTCCGACTACGACGCGTAATTATTATGATAGTATAATTATTTTATTTTGATCTTGAATTTATTTTTTTTTTTCCTTTTCGTTCTTTATTATTTTGCACTTGCGATTCTGTTAGCCAAGGTATAATCAATCAATGGTTGTATTTTTACTTTAAACAATTTTTATACTGTGTAGTGTATCCTATATATCCAATTATTATAATAAAAAGAATTATTTTGGCTATAGAAATGCAGTATAATGGTAATTTATTATTTGATTTATTTATAAATTTAAATATTAATAAAATTAAACGGGCACAATAAATTAATTATCGATTGAATGCAATCTCTCGATAAGGATATCTTAATTTTTTTTTCCTTTTTTTTTTTAAAAAAAAAAAGTTTAAAATAAATGTACAATAAATCTTTAGATGTTTTAATATATATATATGTATATAGACTGCATTTGTATTTTTAGGAAGTAATAGTCTATGTTTTTAACCATAATTCAAACGGAAAACATCATTAAGCACCCAATAAGTACTACCTTCAGGAATGAGCTGAAAAGCTTGCGAGAATCTTTGTGCATTGGTTTCCTGGTCAATCTTTTTTTTTTTTTTTGTTTTAACAAAAACGAAAAAATTTTATAAATTGAATAATTCGAGTAAATAAAATCGATTTGAAAAATATTTAAATTTGATAATTTACCAGCAACTCGCCAGTAACCATCACAATGATTCCGTTATTGATACTTGGTTGAGCATCCAGGGTAGCAATACGATGTGCCACTTGTTGAAATGGCAAACCCTTAAAAAAATAAAATAAAAATAAAAATGAGTAAATTCATTATTATATATTAAAAATATAAAAGAAATAAACAAATATGTATATGTATATTTACAGTTAATTTTCCGATAATAGCATTCACTCCTTTAAACGGGGCACCCTCAAAGGTTAACATAGAATCGTCACGCTTAATATAAAGTATTAATATGTTGAATATACACATTTCACGCGAGATAGATCAAAAAACGGAATAAAAAAATTATATAACATAACTAAAAGGCATTAAATATTTATTTTTTACAGAACAAGCACGGAGTACTCGTTCAACTTTGAAAAAAAAATACACTTACGTAAAGTGGTCTGAGGTTATTCCTGTCGGTAGCAAACTCATTGTAATAATATAGAACAAATTGATTTGCGAGACTATTAAGATCAGACATTTTATAATTTTATTTTGAAAATGGATTTTCTTTTTTTCTTTATTTTTATATCTTTGAACAAATAAGAAAAATTCCAAAGGAAAGTCGAAAAGTTATTTATTATTATTACATTTGCAACATTAAAAAAAAACTACTTTTTATAATTACAGAATTACAACTTGTGATTGGTAGATAAGAGGTTAAATACGGCACGAGTTTTTTTTTTCAATTATGGTTATCAATTACCATTTTTTGAATGGCAAAAATTTACCATCAAACGTAATTTTAACTCTCTCGTGATCATCTTTTTCAATCTATACATGCATTGTATATCTATGAATGCACGTACCATAAACGCATAAAAAAAAAAAATAAATAAATAAAAATTAAATTACCTTGTCAACCTTGGCAGTAAAGTCAATTGCAGACATAATCCCATCACCAAACTAAGAAAATTAATATTAGATTTTTAACATAATGATGATAATAAAGTTTTATTTTCGATTCGATGATTTACTTTCTCGTTAATAATCGCTTTGAGCGGATATCCATAAACCTAAAAAACATAGGATAGAGATTCGATCGTTATTTATTGATATATCAAAATAGCTTATACCAATGTTAAATTTTTCACCTGCAAAATTTCGTAAAATCGATAAATAACAGGATCGGTCGGTGGCATTTGAAATAGTCTTGAAAAAATCACGAGAAATTAATTAATGTTCTTTCTTGTGAACAAACAAATCCATTCAATAATAAATTACCCTCCACGATCAGGAAAATAAGTCTTGGTTCCAAGTTCAGTAGTCAAATAATTTTCTTTGATGTCTAACACAACACTTAATTTCTTTAAATCTGATTCTTCCGGTTTAGCCTTTAAGCAATATTAAAAATCAAAATGTATTGCGAACTATAAAATAAATGACATTTATAAAATAAATAAAGTATCGACCTGTCCATAAAAAACGGCTGCAACCCAAACTTCATCTTTATCAATCTTTTTACCAATATCTGCAAATCTGTTAAGAAGCAAATGACTAACAAGGTTTATTATATAAATGATTATGAAAGTGTGAAAAAAAAAACCACCCACGTTATACGTTTCGCAGCTTTAGCTTCAAAAAGTGTTTGACATAATGTTGGAAGTTTATTTTTTAATGCCGACTATGAAATAAATGTTTAATTAATATCATTAATCCTAACTATACAAATTAAAACAACAAAAATATTTTTTACGCACATTCATTTTTCCAAATTTCTAAAAAAAAAAAAAATTTTTTTTTTTGATTTTATTAGAATAATACCTTTCTCACGATCAAATGATCATTAAGTGATAAAAAGAGGCTTTCCATTCATCAACCCATTTAAAGTAATAAAATTGAATTACAAAAACCTTATTTGAAACGAAAACAGATAAGTTTTAAAAGATGTAACAATAATTTTCCCTATATATCTTGGTACAAACATGAGAATTTATTTTAATTATTATAAAGTAATTATATTAAACACTATCAAGTTGTTTAACCAGGTATTTTAATTTATATAAATATTTATATAAATTTGCTTCTGTTTTATTTTTATTTATACATATATGTATACGAGTATAATTATACATAATAATTTAGTTTAATCTAGAATATATGTATTTATATTTTAAATTTATATTTTATTTTAATAATTTATTTTAATATTAAAAAATTTAAAAAGTTATAAAAGTAAATACTTTTTTCTTTTATTTATAACTTGCATAACTGTAAGAAAAATCTTGTATAAACTGAAAATAATGCTTGCATTACTTAAAATATATTAATTTTAGATTCAAGTCTATTGGTTTTTGCTTAAAATTTAACCTGAATCTAATTTAATACAAGTCTCATAATATCTTTTGTAGTTCTGCTAGTTTATTTACAGTATATCTGCATATTTATTCCTTTTATTAGATTTTATAGAAATGAAAACAGTTATATTAAATTAAAATAATTGTATAAAAAATACATATAATAATAATTTGTAAGTTTTAAAATTTTTTTTTGCCATTCTTTCAGAATCACATATAAATTTAGTATTTTGATTAGTATATAACTAACAAGAATACAAAAGTATGTATTATTTTAAATACATTTTATTTAAATCGCTATTTATAAAGTTTAAAATCTTATTAAATATTATATAAGTAAATCATTTTATTTTTGCTTTCTTTTAAAATTAATTTATATAACCTATATTCTAATCTTTAATATATATAAATATTTATTCTCTTTTCTATAATAAAAAAACTTTGTTAATAATTAAATTATAATATTTTTAAACTATTTTATTATTATTAGCTATTTGTGATTATTTAATTCATTTAATATTTCTTTTATTAAAGAATCATCTAGACGTCATTATGAAAATTTGATCAAAAAATCTCAAAATAATTTATATAAGAATCATTTTAATTATTAATTCTTTCATATATTATAATATAAAAGAAATTTTAATAGATAATAGACTTATAATTAAAACTTACAAAGCTAAAATATATTAAAAGAAAACTTTTAATTTCTTGTTATAATTATTAAATTTCTAACAATTATTTAATAATTAATACATAATTTTTTTTTTATAAATGTTTAATAAGTTATTAGTATTATATTTTTTAATACAATTCCATTAAAATACAAGTGATATTTTTTTGAATAGTTTTAAATTTTATTTTATATAATAAGAAATGAATAATATATATAAATTAAATAAGGTTTTAACTACTTAACCTTAAATTTATTTAATAAAACAACTTCAAAGATTATATTTATTATATAAAAATAAATTTTATTTTATTATTTATATAAAAAATTAATATTTAAAATATTTATGCTTTTAATATATTTATTTAATTTTTATATATTTTATTTAATTAAATTAATAAAAGAGATTAATAACTTTAACTTAATTAGTAATAATTAAGTTTATTTTATAGATTATACTGTAAAAGTTTTAGCTGAGATATTATATATCTAAATATACAAGTATATATATAATATATGTTTGAAATAAGTTAATCAATCTATTAATTAATATTAATTATAACTAAATACTGAATTTATATAATATAAAATATAAATAAGATTTGAAATTAATAAAAATTTAGTTTTATTAATAAATTTATAATAGATATTATTTTAAATCTTTAAATAAAGATTTTTTATTTGATAAGAAAATGATTAATTAATAATTAGTAAATTAGATATATAATAATAATAAATTACATTATATACTATAATATTATCTAACATTAGTCAAAATCAAAAAAATCAGACATGTAAAAATCAGCCTAAAATCAACCTAAAATCAGCTTAAATTCAGCAAATTATCAAAAATCAGTCTAACTGATTGGCATACATCAGAAATCGGTCAAAAATCAGCCAAAATTCGACCTATCTTATTTATAACTGATTGGTATACTTATAGCTGATTGGTATATATCAAAATTTGACCTATTTTATTTATAACTGATTAAACAATTGTACTATTCTTTAGGTACAATAGGTATTATCGTTCCTTAGATATAATGGTATTATCGTATTTAAGAAATAATATATTTATCGTATTTTAGGTATAATGATTTTATTATTTTTAAGGAATGATAAATTATCATTCCTTAGGTAAGATAGTTTTATCGTACCTAAGGAATGATGATATCATTATACCTAAGAAATGATGCATTTATCATTTCTAAAGAACGATTATTTTATCATACCTTAGGTATGACAATTTTATTATTCTTAAAAAATAATGATTTTATTATTTCTAAAGGACAATATTTTATCGTTTCTAAGGGACAATAGTTTTATCATTCTTTAAAAACAATTGTTTATCATTCCTTAGAGACGATAGTTTTATCATTTCTTAGAGACGATAATTTTATTATTTTTAAGAAACAATGCATTTATCATTTCTTAAGGATGATTATTTTATCATACTTAAGAAATAATAGTTTTATCGTTTCTTAGGGATGATAGTTTTATCATTATTTAGAGACGATAGTTTTATCATTCCTTAGAGACGATAGTTTTATCATTCTTTAGAGATGATAGTTTTTTCATTTCTTAAGAACAATAGTTTTATTATTCCTTAAAAACGATAGTTTTATCATTTCTTAGGGATGATAGTTTTATCATTTTTAAGGAATGGTGGTTTTATCATACCTAAAAAATGATGATATTATCATTCCTTAGGTACGATAGTTTTATCATACCTAAAGAATGATGGTATTATCATACCTTAGGTATGATGATTTTATCATTTCTAAGGTATGATTATTTTATCATACCTAAGAAATGATAATATTATCATTCCTTAGGAACAATAGTTTTATCGTTCCAATAAACTAAACTTTTAGATTAAACTGATTTGCTAATGTACTATTTGAGTTTATTTCTAATATATAGGAATATTTATATAAATAAGCTTAATTTTTTAATTTTTTAAAAA